TTTAATGGAAACAAAATCCCCAGAAAACTAGGGCTGTTCATCCTCCCTTCTCAGAGCTTTCTTAGGAGCTTTAAGATATTTTTCTGCTGATGATTTTGTGCATTTCCATCTGGAAGGCAATGATTTATTTTTCCATTTTCTGAAAGGAACTGGAGTGAACATGGCTGTTTATTTTTCTACTTAGATAGTGCCTTACCATGCCAAGACAACTCTGAGCACCAGCCTCATCAATTAATATCAGCACCACTCTGAGAATGGTGTTTGCTAAGAAACTGTTGCTACAGAACAAGCAAAATGAGGACAAAACATTGGGCCAAGAGCTAGAAGAGGCAGAGGGGAGCCAGGATCTGTGGATCTGGGGGAGCACAGACAGGGTAGTGCTGTCTCTGTGTCATGTTTCCCTCCCCTTCAGACCACCCCCCCTCCCCACCACCACCTCCTGGCTTTGGGCTCTACACCTGGGTGGGAGGGGCTGTGCTGGGATGCCTTTCACACGCCATATGGAGCCTTCCTCCATGTGCAAACCAGCATAGCTGAACGCTGATTCAGCTGGGGCTGTGAAACCGCACCTCTCAAGGCATCTGTGGTGCTTTGGGACATTCCTTCATCTAACCACGGAGAGCCAGCCTTGGAAGAGACTCCCAGAAACAGCTCCATGTTGAATTGCCCTCCTCATATTTAATAAAAGAGAGGGAAAATAGCAAGTTCACCTTCACAGGTTACACATGGGATACACTGCAAGCTGTATTTGCTCCTGCTGAAATGCTGCTGCACCAGCAGCATTTGGACAGAAAGTGAAAGCTCACTGTGACATTTACCACAGTGTTTTTATTTCATCTGGATGGAAGGAGAGATGTTGCTCTGTGGACTATCTTTTCTCTGTATTAGCACACATGTATGACCCTCACTATGTCTCATCCATGTGTTTCTTTTCCTCTCCCTGCAGCCCCATATCCCTGCAGCAGTCCTGCCAGAAGTGCTATGTAGCGACCTTTAACAATTGCTTTGCTTGATCTCCACAAGTAACAGACTAAGGTACCCTTTTTATGCCATCTGCAGTGGTGAATAGGAAAGAGAAAACTATAGGCTTTGACCAGTGAGACATAAATTCCTTTTTGGGCCATAATTGCGAGCGTGGGCCATAGGTGTGAATGATGACAATCAACTGCTCGTGCAGGAGTACACAGACTAACCAGCAAGGCAAACAACACAAACAGGAGCAGAGAGAGGAGGCAGGGGAGAAGGGCAAAGAGAGGCCTAAAAGCAGGAGTAAATGATTTATTTAAGATCCCACAGGAAGGTACTAAAAGAGGCAGAGATAGGACTCATTTCATACCTCCCAATTCAACGCTCTGTGTATCGTAGCACACAGGCTGGGCTGTTTTGCTGCCATAACGCACCACTCATTGTACACTTCAAAGTTGATATTAATATTTTCTCTGCCTCTTTTCACGATCCTATAAAAAGGAATCTCTCTGCCTGAATGTAAAAACTATTATCGGGCATGCAGTTGACCAAATTCTGCCCAGATGTTGCAGCGTGGTTGCAAACTATATGTCAGCTGTTCTTTTTGCTGCTCACCATGCAGTCAGCCTGTTCATCTGGCCATATGGAAGATCCATGGGAAAAAAAGAATAGCTATTTGTGCATTGGTATTGAAAGTCAGAATAATACAGCCTTTAAGATTTAATGGGTACTCAAGCTGGCTTACAAATAACCTGCTTTGTCTGCATTATTTTGTCTATGTCTTTCCTTATGAAAAACAAAGAATAGAGAAGAAAGATCAAAGATTTCAAAAGCAGCTTTGTTTTGAAAGCCAAAATGCCTTACTCCCTTCAAACAACAGGGAAGGCTTCTATGCACAGGCTTCAGACTCACACTGCACCTTGGCCCACTGCAGAGATGACGGCCCCACAAAGTATTTCAATTCCTTGTGCCTCCCACATCCTCGCCTTCCCCATAGACATGGAGCCCAGCGATGTCTGAGGTTCAGTCCTCCTGCCTGCCTGCCTGGAAAGCCTTCTGCACAGTGGAAATAGCCGCAGTTCCCAAGGGAAGGGGAACACACAAATTATGAGAAATGGATATTTCCTGTTAAACAGGATAAGGCAGAAGTTTGTAATATGATTCTCAGACATCACTGAAGACAAGGGGAGAACTGAGGTGGAAAATCAAGCTTTTTATCACAGCACATTTGCACAGTACAATGAAGCTCACATTTCATATGCTGGAGGCTGATGTCTTGCAGCCACCAGGAGTTTGGTGAGCTGAAGCAGCTATGCCAGTGGTGGGATTGGGGTGGGGAAGAAGCTTTTGGAGGTTTGGGCACTGCAAATTTAAGCAGTCAGATTGGGTACCTGCAGACCAGGCACTCCCAGGAGCAACCCAGAGTGCTTCAGTTGGGCTCAGTTGCATGCTTACAGCACTGCTTGGAAGCCTCTTTTTATCCCTGTTGACTCTTTGGGCAGTCTACATTCAGAATTTAAGCACTACATTCACAGTTTGAAGCTAAACTATGAAAAAACATTTCCTTCTTTATGGACAATGCCTCACCATGTCAAACATCTGTTCTTCTAACCCCAGGGACCTGCAGGTACCAAACTCTCTGAGATACAGCCTTCAACAGTGCCGGGCTTGGGAAGCAGGGTCTGTCCAGAACGTCTTCGCACGTGTGAGCACCTGTTTGTACGCAGTTATCTACTTTGCATGTGAAAGCCTGAGCCTGTGCATGGCCACACGGGCGCAACTTCAGACGTTTGATAATTTGGCCCTGGCTGCGCTGTCAGCTGCTGTCACTTTCTGTTTAGCGCAGCGTTCATAAGGCAGCAGCTAATGGGGCGGGAGCATGGGGAGGAATTCTGGCAAAGACAAGTCACCGGGATATTTATTTGGCCGTCCTTATGTAAAAGAGTGCAAAAATGGAGCAGTAAAATATTGTAAAACTTAAGTTGATACTTCCACTAATTCGAAGTGGCAGTTTTTAAATAGGGTTGCTTCTGTTTGTCACTTTCAATCATAGAATGCCGATAGTGGTACTTAGAAGGACTTAATAGTCTTAAGAAAATAAACTGTCCCCCTCCCCCCAGAGCAGAACAAACAGAGCCATATTGTCATGCCTTGAGATACATCAAGTGTGCCGTGCGGGGCGGGGGTGGCTGCGCGCTTCCTCCTCGGCCAACGCAAGTGAAAGTGACAACTTGTCAACTCTCTCGTCCTGTTCACTTTGCATCCTGCTCCGTTTCTTGTGCTCTCTTGCCTTTCCTTGTCTGCTCTTCCCATTTCCAGTCCTGGTCTTCAAAAGAAAAGGGCGCTCCCTTGTCGGCAGCTTTAAACTGTGTTTAATTTGTGCACACCCTTTTCCTGAATTAAAAATAACCCCTTTCCCAGACTAGTTTTCACATGTTCACAGGACTTGTACCTTGAGTGAAGCAGGGCACAGGCACAACTTAGACTTAGGAGGGAGGAGAGCCATTTTTCCAGGTAGGGAAAGGTAGAGTGGCAGGCAATAGTGCTTCATGCCCCACGCACAGGCCAACAAGCAGCAGACCTGCCATGAAGCAGGAGGCTCCCATGCCATCTCCTCTTTACCAGCATCAGGATGAATCCGTGCCATTTGCAGTTGTTATTGCAAAGTCCTTGCAAAACGACAGCCAGAGCTATGCCTGGACTAATCCTGGTCTTTCTAAAGGGCCAGGGATGTGCTGCCTACTCAGGTTTAGGCTACATGGTGGCCACCGGGCAGCAGCAGCTGTAATGCCAGAAGTGTACTATGTTTTCCACGTGCCCACCCCTTATTCTTCATTACACACCCTGTTCCGCTCACTCTGACTGCAACAAAGTGCAAATCCACCACCTTCTGTGGATGGGCTTCCCGGATTTTAGTGAGGGAGGTGAGGCTCCGCTCTGCCTCGAAAGGACACACATGGATAAAACCCAGGTACTTCCTCTTTAATATCCTGTCAGCTCCCTCCACGACCTGTTCAGAATCACTGCCCGAATGACTTTGCCAAGCAAAGGCAACAGAGTCAAACCAGCAGGGACTGCTGTAGGAAACCTGCAGGCAGCAAGCAGAGGGGCACAGGGAGGGGGGGTCCCTCCAACACTGTCTCAGTATGGAGAGCATGTTGGGAGGGCTGGAGAGGGACTGTGCAGCCAGGAAACACAGAGTTCACCTGAGAGAGGACACAGGGGTCACTCCAAATCTCTTTCACATCAAACCTCTTTATCTAATAAATAAACAAGCAACAATAAATAAACAACACAACAAAGAAAAAAGCTGTGCAATTTAACAAAGATTTCATTTGAACCGGAACAGAGAAAGGCAGATTTATTTTCAAGAACAAAACTCAGTTTAATAGCTAAGATAAGAAAGTGTGCGTGTGTGTGTGTGTGTGTGTACATGTGTGTGTGAAAATCCAGGGGGGGAGTCAGATAAGAAAGAAAGATTAAGTCCTTGCATGGAAGTAGTTAAGCTGTCATCTTAAGCTCACTCTGTCAGAATTACTGCTGTTTATTCATAAGAATACTAAGGAGCAGATGTTCACCTGGCCAAACAAACCTCCTGAAAGGAAGATATCCATATGTGGCAGAGATCAGAGTGTGCTGTGATTCCTAGAAAAAAAGTTTTGTTTCCTGGTATTGGTTGAAGCATAGTAGAAGAGTGAAAAGGAGAAAATAAAAGGTATGTGGAAAGGAAAAACAAAGGCAAAGAGTGCAAAGACAGAAACAGGAGCCAAGGTGAAATTACAAAAGCTACAGGGAACTCAGGGACATTTCTTGAACATCAGTCAAAGCATTTGTAAGGACAATAGCTACACAAGAGACAGCACAATTAAAAGAGTACAAGTAAGAAAAAGACTTTAATTTCTTTTCACAGTTTCTTTCTTCATGTTGTTTCAAGTTAGCAGGCAAAATGTGCAAGCAGTGTCCATTCTTCTCTACTTCCTAATGTATTTTCTTTGCTTAGTCTTTTGTCTTATTCATCTAATGGATTTAGAGCATTGAGATTCTTTTGTGTTGAAGCTTCATGAATCAGCCTGTCTGCTACAGCCTGGGACAAGCACATCCTCCAAACACAGTTTATACAGAGTATAAACCAAAGAAAACACAAGAGACAAGAAAGACACAGACTCATGGGTACCTTAGAGGTAAGAGGAATTTAATCTTGTTCAATTTCTAGAGGGCTGCTCACTGCAGCTTGGGGCTGTCCAGGGCACAAGCAACCAGAACAAGTAGAAAAGCAAAAATCTCAGAGGGGAACTGGGAATGAGGGGGGTGATACAGGGCTGAAGAAAGATTAGGGGCAGCTGCATTAACTGGGGTCCTGCTCCCTCTGAACTCACCATCTGGCAGCTCCAGGGGCGCAGGGCTGAGGAGAGCCCAAGGGAAGGTTCACTGTTTGGCATTTGTCCTCATCCAACAGGGAAACAGGACACAGGCCTCTGCCCCACCAGTAAAGGATGTTTGAGGCCTGAGTAATACTGTGGGGAACATGCAGTGGCCATTTAGGATCTTTTTTAATGAAAAAAACTCATTATAGCATGGCACTGGAAGATACCACTTCTTCAATTACTACTTTGCAAGGATCCTATTAAAAGGCAATAAGTCAAACTGTAAGTTAATTTTGAGTGTTTTTTTCACTCAGGCAGATCCCCTTGTGTTCAGAGCAATGGGTGATGAAGCTATAGCCTAAACCATGTCAAGCTGTTCTGTATACTCTGCAGTCAGACGGATATTCCTTCTGCTGGAAAGATCACTAATTATTCAGTCAGCATTTGCCTGAATAAGGCCTCAAGAATTGGTCCAAAGACAGCAAATGTTCCTTCTTGATTGTTTTTGCAAATTAAATGAGAAGAATTTAGAAAGAGAGCATATGAAGCTTATTTGTAAGACAGATGTTAAACAGACTAGCAGATTCCCAGTATCCCTCTAATACTTATCCCCAGTACCAAAATATATTTCTTTAGCCTTTATAATGACATGGAAGTACTTAAGACTTTACTGATAGTACCCCAAATGGCTTCACAGGTCAAGAAGCACAAAATTATTTATTTTATTAATTGTATTTTACAGCAGATTCAGGACATTTTGGAGTGGACAGAATTTTTCAATTAATAATTTGTTCACTGAGAAATGCAGTTTCGAGTCAGCCAAAAGTATTCATTAATACAAAGAGTCTCAAGTGGGGGAGGTTTTTTCTAGAATGCCTTATTTTGAAATAATTTCTTATATCATCTGACCTAAAATAATACTTCCTATCTTTTGAGGATGCTTGGACTAAGAACTGAAAATCCCAGGTACTCCTGCTGCTCTGAGCCAGTTGAACCTTTGAGCTGTCTTGGGGCATGACTGTAACTTCCTTATGGTAAGCTTGGGGTGCTCCACTCCAGCAGGAATGGGACAGATGTGTTCTTGGTCCCTTCCCCCAACTTTCAAACCTATTTCACCTGCTCACAGCAGCCTCTGAGGTGTGTGAGATGTAACAACCGTTAGCACACAAGTTAATGAACATACATCACCTTTCTTCCCAAGCCGGCCAGCAGCAACAGTCGTAACAGATTTCAAGATACGGCATATCAGAACTGTAAAGCAACTATTTGTTAGCCCTGGAGCGAAGTCAAAGTATTACTCAGCAATGTTAGGGATAGCAACTGGTATCTGAACAATATTAGGACACTAAAATAGATTTATTAGCTTTTGCTTAATACAGTGCATCCAGCCTTCTGGAAAACAATAATGTAAATAATGAGGTATCCTATATATAATTTTTTCTCTTTGTGCACCTTCCATATAAGCTTCCATTCTGTTTACAGATCCAAACATGATTTTCCTAATTGCCAACTCTGCCATGTCACCCTGAGACCTGAAAACATATTTGCCACCTCTCTGCTAGTAAGAACTTCAGCAGTGATATGAGTTCCACTGCTCAGACCTTTCTTGGGATCTGCTGACTTGAGGCCCAAGACAGATCTGCTCGCTCTTCTGTGGCTGCTTTGGATGTTGACACACCAACAGATTGAGCCACAGGAGACCTAAGTAGTCCTCCTACAATTTGGCACACTGTTTTCACTATGGTGAGTACAAGGCTACTATTTTCACATGGCTGTTTTGTTACATTTTAAACCAAAAACATCTTTTTACGGGGAACAGGAAGAACGTACAACAGGTCTTCGGTTGCTGAAAAGTTTTACTAAATTCAACAAGGTTCCACTAGCCTGCTCAAGCTGAGAAATCATCTCACAAGCCAAGGGAACCATCACCAGGAAGCAATACATGAGACTGACCTTTTTTAGGTTCAAACTTCCAAACACTGTGTGTGCAATCTTAGTGGAAGTGAGTCATTCTTCCAACACTCACAGAGCTCCAACATGCTCCAAGACACATAATGAACTTGTCCAGGCTCAGAACATTTGACACTGAATCTGTCACGGATCAGATTACTTCACTGTCCTACTTCTGAAAACATGGGGACCTTATCTTAGCATTCTTATGTGCCCGTCTTGAAGAAGATAGCCAGGGCTGTCAGCGTGCAGAGGTGATGGGTGATGCTCTGCTAAGGGGATAGCACTTCCTGAGAAAGAATTCTTGGGATCCAAAGATGTAGACAACCTAGACACATGTTGCTTGTAATTGCCAGCAAAACCAGAAACTTCAGCTTATTTCTCTTCATATCAGTTCAAATAACCTGATTTTTAATTCTGGGCAGTAATCATGCAAAAAAGTGTATGGCTTCTGTAACATTACTGCAATAAAAAGGATAAATATTGAAATTCTGAATGCTTTTTGTCATTGAATTACTGCTGTGTTCTTTAAAGGATAACCTGAAGCATGTATTAAACCAATTTAAAAAATGAGCAAAACGAAAGGAAAAAGAAAAAAGATATTTTTAAAGGGAGGTTTTAGTTAGACACACAAACATGGATGAACTGTCATATATCTCTGAGATTTACTACAACCATTCAAACCACTGTCTTGCAATTACCAGCAGTCCAGCCGATACTCTGGTTTTCTCCAGTGTGGAGAACTAAGTCTTATCACTTCCTGCCGGTTTTGAGCAGTTCCAACTTTGCTCCTTACAGCAGCAGTGTTTCTCAGCCCATCCTTGATAACACCAGGGCAGGGAAATGGTCTGGAGGAAGAAGAGGCTATCAAGGCATTTGAATTTCCCAAGAAATTCCTTCATGCAACATTTTTAAAGGCTTGTGAACAACTCCTGTAACATCCCGACTCTTTTTCCCTTACTGATTAGTACACCAATGCTGGTCATTTCCTCTGCCTCCCCCAGCCCTCTTTCTTTTGCTACCTAATCCACCTATTCTGGTTTCATTTCACTCTACCCCCTTTCCCCTTTGACCTAGATTCCATCCATTTGCAAATGTTTTCTTTGATATCCACAACAGTTCTTTATCCACTGATGTACCTCACATCCAAACCTGCCTACCAACCTAAGAAGCCATCTTTTGTGTGATACCAGATCAAAAAGGTTTCTTGAGGATCACATGAGTTGTATCCAGGCCTTTCCACTGCCTGCCTTTCATACCTCCCCTTAAAAACTCCAGTAGGTGATCTCTTCTATGCACCTACAAGACAGTATCTGCTGTAATATCGTGACTCTTTCCGTTTTTTTCTTCCTTTAGACCCTGATTTATCATCCTTTTCTCTTCCAACTGCTACAATCAATCAAACCCATGGACATGCAATGCTCCAGGCCTTCCCTAGACACATTTGTGAAGAACCAGCTGAATTTCCTGTAGCCCATGATATTAGTAATGTGGAAAATGCCAAAGCATCTTTCCCTTGCTCCACGACTGTGTTTCTGAAGTAAAAGTTCCATGTTATCTTGCCGAGCGCCATGCTTGTGAAAATAACCTTGAACACGTTAATGGACCATAAACCAATTGTTTCTGATGCAGCAAATAGCTGGAAACTGTGTCTTTGAGAGGTGTGGACAGCCCCATTCCCCTCACTGGTGTGTTAATGCTGAAACAAAAATTGACAATTTAAATTCCAACATTATTAATGATTCCACTGATGATCATTTTAGCAGAAGCATCCAGCCAATGCATTTACTCCACAATCCCAAGCTGCCTCCCGTGCCTTCCCAGGTGCCAAAAGCTCCAACTGTCCCCTACCCCACTGCCAAAGACTTCAGCTTCCCCATGGCAACTCCTACAATGCAGTTCTGCATTGTTACAGCGCTGAACCAAGCAGGGAGTGAACGTCAGGAAAATAGCATCAATTAAATTGACTTCAGTATCAAAATAAATAATACTAATTGTTTTATTCATTTAGGTACTTAGTTGAGTAAACTTTTATATAAATTTAATTTAAACAAATCTGCTATTGAACTGCAGGCTGCTTCACCAGAAGGCTGAAGGACTAAGGATGCTGCCAAATAATTGAGGTCCAGTTTGTTACAGAGTCCATAATCCCCAGAACAGAAATACTGCTTCAAGAAGCTAACTCCTACATTATATGCCCCCTTTTTGTTTTGGTTTTTTTGTTTTGTTTGTGTTTTTTTGTTTTATGTGAACACTTTCGATGCAATCCACAGCAAGGTGACAAGCATTATGCCACCAGACCCTTCCCATGAAGACCACAGAGTCCTTGGGATCCATGGAAGCTTGAAATCTGCAGCCTAGCAGCTCTCTCCTTAGCCATGTATTTTCCTACAAACAGGGTCTTAAATGTGCCTGCCTGGGGTTATCCTACCATTCTTGATGTTTCCTACTGAAAACAGACTGCTTCCCATCTGAACAAGTTATTTTTCAAATCTTCAGATATTCTAATTTCTTAATAACCTGTTCTGGCATGATTCTGCTTTCCTTTAGTGTTTCTTTCTTCTCCCTAGGGAAATTTATGCTTGTTTCTGACACCTGTGTCTGCCACCATTACCTTCTTTTCAGAGCACAAGAGCAAGAAGTGCACTGAATATTTTAAGCAATACCTGAATATCCTTTCAATATTTTTTCTCTGCCATGTCTTAAAGGCCCTTCTGTCTCTTTCACAGGCCTCTTTTTTCTTGTGTACTTGAAAAAAAGTCATCATTTTTCACAACCTCCTGTGCAATCTTTTTTTTCATTCTCTACCTTTGCTTTTCTTAAAATTTTTATTACTTTCTGAACTTCACATTGTAATCTTTCTGGTCTGCCCCTGTACTTGATGTTTAATACCTCACGTATGCCTCTTTCTCACACTTGATTAATTGAGGGTGGGCTTGTTCATCATAGTGTGAATGTATTTCTTTCAAGCCTGCATATCAGATGGCCCTTGGGTATATATTAATTTCAGTTCTGCACATTTTCAGTTTCTCATCAATGTTCTGGTCCTCCCCATTACTTTTCATTCAGCTCCTCCCACAGACTTCTGAAACTCACACTGAAATTTTAGAAAATCACCTGCAAGCCCAGAAGAAAATCTAAGGGCAAGCAACACCATTGTGACCACATTGCCCTGCGTATACCAAACCCTCAGCCAATATCCTGCCTTTCCCAAGCCTAGGATCAACAGAGATCAAACTGGAAATAGAAGCACCTTGTGGGTTGAGGATATCTTCGGCCAGAGGAGGATCACCAGACTGAAGCACATCACTGCACTGCCCTTTCTGAGACTGCTGTACTTTCTCCACATGTGAGGATGTGGGCAAGTGGACAACATATCAGCTAATCCCAGAAGTCTATCAAGGAGATGCACCACCAAAGTGGAGGGAAAAATGTTTTCTGGGCCAAGGCTGTGTCCTGTCACCTGTCCTGAAGTACTTCAGATCACTTTGTCTCAGAACTGAAATGGGAAGTCACTGAAATGAAATGTTAGAATGTCTTTGAGTCTGCATCATTTTCAGCAGTGATGTCCAGGCATCTAGAGAATAAAATAAAATAAAATATTTTTTAAAAAAAAAATATCATTAATTTAGATTTTTATCTTCACTCCCACTGAAAGCAGCAGTGTTGATTATGTGATCTGGAAACTGCTGAACATGGCAGCAGACATGGACTTCCACACAGGGCAGTTCACCCCTGTTGTCCCTGTTGGTGATGCTCCTCTCATCTCCTCCAGGTCAACATACAAGATGCAGCACCCAGAGGTGCCATGAAGAGTGGGAGCCTCCCATGAGGGCCCGTAAGGAAAAGCAGCACCCACTGCCTGCAGCTCCCTCATGTGTGATAGATGGACTAGCTGTCGCAAAAGTGATTTAATATTTACAAAGTCTTTTTCTGATATAATAGAGACTGTTTTTCTTTTTAGATACAATTTTGTTTCATAAATACTGCTCACACATACAAACCACAGCCCTGGCTATCACAGTGACTGGGGTGAATTGGTCAGGAGCTGCTGGTCACTGCTCTGGGACAGGCTGGGCATCAGTCAGTGGGCGGTGAGAAACTGTGTGCTAGATCTCCTGTTTCTCTGGAGTTTTAGGTCTCTCTCTCCTTCTCATTACTATTATTATTGTTACTGTTATTACCAATAACAGTATTATTTTACTTTGTTTCAACTATTAAATTGTTCTTATTTCAAAGCACAAATTTGACTTTTTTTTCCTCTGATTCCTCTCCCTATTCGAGTGGTGGGAGGAGTGAGTGAGCAGTTGAATAATGAGTTGCCAGCTGGGGTTAAACCACAAAACTTATTATAAGATTATTACATGTTTTATAGATGGGCACATAGAGTACAAGCAGTAAAAATACCCCAACTCTTGTAAATGTGTGTTGCAATTAAGTCCCTCCTTCTGTATAGATAACACAGACCTTTTGATATATTGTGAGTTCAGTGAAATGGCTCAGAACAAAAGAAGTTCATCACGTAAGTACATCTTTGTAAGAGCAGTAAAATTTTTTACCACACATAAATATTGTTATGCTATTTCTTGTGCTAGACGGCACAGTATCAACTAAATTTGCAGCTTTAGAATAATGTTTATCTCCTTCCTTCTTCCTATTCTTTTTCTTTTCTGTGACACAGAAAATTCTATGAAAAACAGAAAAAAATTGATAAACCAAATTTTCAGGCTTCAAATAAATACTGATACTTTGAATTCAGAGACTTAGTCCTGCCCCTTGTGGTTTAAGTCTTGAAACACTCTCATTCAGACATGATAATTTGCACAAACTTTCATTCAGGTTTGTAGTGCTCTCTACTATGAAATAACACTGCTTTTTCATAAGAAATAATTTTCTGAAAGCAGCCTACCCTTTCTCTCCTAGAGTTTCTATATGAGATACCATACTGCAGCTATTCCCAAGGATTACTTTTATCGATGAGGTTTATAGTAGCCCTTTTCTGGGAATTCCAGCCACTTGTACCTAAATGCAAGTAGGAGTATAATCCATACCTCAGAGGCTTCACTCTGCATTCAGCTGGTAGAGACAATTCTGCAAAGAATAGGTTCAAGTAATGAAATAGATATAAAATAAACAAATCTGGGAGGGAAAAAAACCCCCACAAACAAAAAACTCCACCATTTATTAGCAGCCTAAGAATAGCATTAAAAAAAAATAAATAAATAAAAAATCTTCAACAGAGATGGTGTTTTTCTGCCTCCTGGAACAAAGGTAAGAGAAAAGTGGAAGGTGGTTGTTTAAAGGGCTGTAATATGGGTCATGTTTGACTTGAGTGTGGCTAAAAAAGCCCTGCTCACTGTCACATC